GAAGGTGTTCCTGGACTTCATACACTGACTATGAGTAATGCAGCAACAGCAGGTGGAGCTATAGTACAGTATGCACAGGGTCAAGATACACAATTTTTCGTCCCAGGTGCGCGTTTTTTCAGTTTAACATTACATTTCTTGTAGTTCAATATATTTCTAACATTTGTTTCCTCATTTTTTAAAAAATATAAACAATTTTTTATACACAGGACATGGTGTTGTAGTAGAAGATGCAGCAAGAAAAAGAGAATTAAGGTTGCTTAAAAATAGGTAAGGCTGAATTAAAACAAAAGTATTTAAATTTTCAGTTCAATTGTTTTTACATTTTTTACTGGAAGAAATTCTCGCGGACATTTAAACATTTTTATCTTTACAGACAAGCAGCCCGTGAGTGTAGGAGGAAAAAGAAGGAATATATAAAGTGTTTAGAAAATCGTGTCGCGATACTGGAAAACAGAAATCAGACGTTAATAGAAGAATTAAAATCGTTAAAACAGCTATGCGAACCGAAAACTGATTGAGGTTGGTGTTTAATGTTGAAACATTGTATGAAAACTATTAACCTGCTAAAAAACTTGTACATGTCTTCTTTGTGTACATTATCCTAAACGTTGTTAGGTAAGCAATGGTGATGTACATGCATTCTTATAAATAAGTGTTTCTGTAACATACTGTATTTAAATGCGAATATGAAGGCTTGTGAAACTTGCTGTTACTAAAGCGAGAAGCCAAAGGTATATGAGATACAAAGGCAGCAAACTGATAGGCAATATTCAGGAAGTCAATCTATATTTTGGATAAACTTAACAATCATACGAATTCGGGTTATTAACTTTACATATTCAAAATATGTATCGATAACAATAACATCAATGTTTGAAGCATATTCATTTAGATTACAGTGACTATGTGATGTTGAACAGTGCCACAATACTGCTTCACTTATTCATATACATTGTATTCATGTAGTTTAATTCAACTTTATAAAACTTTACATTAGTAAAACTCGAAAGAATTACAAAGGAAAAGAACAAGAGAGTATATTTAGTAATCAATTTATAATAAATAATTGGTCGCTCATACACATACTTCAGAAAAACGCCTTATGCACAATATTTGCTAATGTAATTTAGAAATTAGATAGAGCTACAAGTTAAAATCACATAGTTTCTGCATAAAGATGAGCATAGTTATTAGTGAACAATGTCTTCATGATTTCTTTTTCAATTTCTTTATTCTTTTATACTTGAAAAATACAGATACATTAAACAAATGAATCTGTTAGAAATTTTCAAGCATGGACGAAATGATTAAAGATGATTGTAAATAGATAAATAGATCGAAATTCTGCTAATTTGATCATTGCTGCTAAACCATGTACATGTATAAAGTGTCGTCTCAGTATAATTTTTTACTTTAAATGCGGATTTCAGGAATGTATTATGAGGAAAAATATAATTTATACTGTGTAGAGAAGTGTGCGATAGAAAAGCACTAGTTAAAATGCTCTCATCTGATATTAATTTCTATTTTAAGATGCCTCAAGTGCGAAAAGCTGAAGAACAGAGTTTGTAAAATATAAATGTAATATATATCTGGAGTGCCTTGAAGATTTCTGTATACTTATGGTATACATATAAAACGCGCGAGCGCGCTCATACACACAGAATGTATGTATGAAATTACGTTTTAGGTAAATATGGGTACATACAATATTTTTAAACTATATGTTATGTTAGTTTTATGTCCTACGTAAATGTCGTAACAGTTACATTAATATTTCAATTTTTATTCTGATACATTTTCATGTTTTCTAAAATTGAATAAAATCTTAAAACCGCTAGTGTAAGCTACACTATGTACTGTAAATTACACATAGTTCGATTCAATCTATTTCGTGTCAAAGTAAAAAAAAAGAAGATCCTATTAGAGTCAAATTACTTCATATTATTATTTAAAATTTTGTAAAAAATTTATGTTTAATGTCTGACACATATTTACCATTACAAAAAAGAATATCCCCAATGCATTTTTTTTGGTAGAATCAGCGTTCTATAAGCTACGTATGAAGAACACTTGATGTATAATTTTGATTGTTATATGTTTATAAAAAAAATACAATTTCAAGTGCTAAAAATCCAGTTTGATCATTCAACGATTTGATATAAATTGTTTAAAGCATCTAATAGTGAAGTGCTAATTATCCAAAAAAGATGTATATTTGTTTTGATTTTTACAACTTGTTGAAATATTATTTGTAAAATAATTTGTAATAACGTTCAATTGCATACTATTTGTAAACATATTTTTTTAATATAAACAATATATATTTTACTAAAAAACAAATTTCTTATTGACTGATCAGACTGGAAAGATTTTTTGTATAAACACGACGATGCGTGATTTTCCCTTTAAATTTTTCACTTTGATAGTGAAAAACAAAAATAATTATAGAATTTGGTTATACGATCGTTTAACATATTTAATACAATCTATAATTACAATTTGTGTTGTATTGGGAAGTATGTCATTTTCGAATCATTTTCTTTAAACTGAAAGTACAATGTACTTATAGTGATGTGTTATAAAATAAAACCGATTCACTATAAGTTTCTCTTCTCTTACAGATTAAAATTTGATTTAGGCAAATTGATACTCTGCACATTTTCATCTGTTTTAATGTTAATTACATGTATGATATATGTATATCTTGATTGCTGCACCGATAAAAAGAAATATTGTATATAGATAATATATGTATTTTTACATATCATTTGTCTTTAAAAAATATAGTTCATAAACCTCTTTAAGAATAGTGTTATTTCTATAAAAACTATAGAAAAAAATGATGAAATAAGAGATTTAAATATTTAAGCAGTGTTTGAAGGAATATTAAGCACATAAAGATGTTTATTTAACAAATTTTATTGTATGTATAATTATTTCCTACTTAGAAGTACAAATTATGTGTTATAATTCTGGTGGATTGTCTTCTCACCTAAAACATGAAGAATGTTAGAAAATACATATTCTAAAAATACTACTACTTTTTATTTAGATTTCAAAACTCAGTTGGTAGTGCATGTAAAAGCAATCACTAATTCATAATTGGTTAAAATATCATCACATTAGATCCAAATATTTGTTTATTTATTTATTAATAAATAAAGTAATAATACTACTAACCTTTAATATAATTTTGCTGTAGTAATTTTCAAATTTGAATATTTTTATTATAAACCCTGAAATTAACAAAACTAAATTATATTCTAAATAACAATTGCAATAATCATTTACTTAAAATAAATAATTCAGTTGGTAGTGCATGTATTAAATAATCATGGAATCATGTAAATGGTAGAAAATTTCATCATACTTTTTAAAATCATAATAAAATTATGTAAATATGGAAAATTGCAAATACATACAAGTCCACCCTTTTCTAATATTTCTCCATTAGCTCAATTGAAGATTTGAAGTCTTGTATTTCCTGTAAATGAACTTTTATAAGTAAAAAGTGTTAAAAAATATTGACTTTAAGTTTTCATAAATACAAAGGACCAATTAGTCATCACATTGTTACGTAACAATTAAAATTCATTATGAAAGATGTCTTTAGATTATAAAATCTTGAAAAAAATGTGAGTTCACGTGCCAAAATTAAGATGTATGTACTACAATATACTTACGCATGATTATCAATTAAAAATATTTCTGAAAATCTAACAATACGAAGATTCACATTGTGAACTTTCTTATCTCATAGCTGTTTAATTATTTTCCTTAAATTGAACAGATTTACATTATTGCTCCCGTTTTTAGTAAATAACTTTTCAAGCACATGTTTCACGACCTCACAAACCACCAGCAATGTTCGAAATGATTTGACACTTAAGACGTTGAACATTAAGTTGAAACATTCATGAGAATGTCTTCCTTGACTTTGGGACCATTTTTATATATGCGACAACCTAAGTTAAGATTTTCTGCAAGTATATTTTTTTGTAATTGTAGAATTATTAAAAATGTAAAAATGTAAATAAATACGTAGTAATAATTCTAACTTCATTTTAAAATTATATTTCAATCTTATTACTTTCATTTAACTTCACCCAATCAAAAGTCGCCAGATTGCATTTTATATTTAGGTAATGGCACATGCATTAATATATACATACCTATCTAGATACTATATATTCCATCTCAGTAGTTACAAGTGTTAATCTTGCAAGTGTAGTTGAGTGCCGTTTGGGGAAGGCATGGAGGTAATTGAAAGATGTTCGAGATTGATTTTGACAGAGTTTTAATTTTTTTGGCTGTCATCAATTGATACGAGAGTGAACGATATGAAATATTAAAAGTTTAACTCTTAGAGCACAGTGTAACGCGAAACTGAATACGCTGCGTATCCGATAGTCATCCAGTAATAATAAGTGCTGTGGTTAAAGTATTTTAAAAAAAGAAAAAGAATTAATAATGTCCCGTTAAATTTGTTATTCAGTAACAAATAACAATAAGTAAAATTGCAGATTACTGAAGTGATGTTAAACGTATATGTATACATATGTATACGCTTACAAGCTATAGCGAAGGTACCATTCTGAACGGATATATATACCCGTAAGGTGCTCTAAGGGTTAAGAAATTGAATTCACGCATGATAACGATATTTATGAATGTTATCGATAGTTCACACTATCGCAGTGGTTGATCGTAAACCGTTTAATATTCCAATTCATATTAGTTTGTCGTAAATTCGACGAAATTAACTGACCAAATGTAACGGTGCACGCTCGATGCATGATTTTTAGGAACTATTTGTGACTGGTTAATCATTCCTGAGATTGATGTAATGACTGTCAAAGCGTTAGACGGTTTATTTTGGATACCGAAATTTTTCATCAACAAAATCCTGATTTATTGACACGGGCAAGAGGAAAATAAAGATGACGGAAAGTTTAATAAATGAATGGTTAGCAGACTGTGCAGATGTCTCACCATCAGAACTTCATACTTTTGCCACTACTTTATCGCAAGACAATGAAATAGTTAGAGCACTTTATGTACTCTTGGAAGAACGTAGTAAATATAGTCAGGTAATATGCTCCTGACACATATTATCTACATTTTAACAGAATAATTAGATTCTTTTCATAATGAAAATTAGATGAAAAATGATATATTTTTTTTACAATCTTGACTTTCCAAGAATTGATTCTGAAGGATACATATTTTTAGATTATGTATAATTTATGTGTATTGATAATTTCTTATTCATTATAGTTGGTGGATACAGTATGTGATCAGTTATATAATTTTTATCGTTCCCGAGAAACAGAATTGCAAAGGTTCACCTTGCAGTTCTTACCAACATTGGTGTACATTTATTTGAATTCTGCAGCTCATGGTGATATTAAGGTAAACATGTGTAATTAAGGAAAATAATAATTAAATATAAATCTCATCAGTGTTTTATGTTTTGTAAAATCATGATACATAATTCATGTGAATATCAGTGTTATGTAACACAGAATAATTATAATTTAAATCAAAATTGTATGATACATCAGTCATGTCATTTACTTGATCATAGAACAATTGTGTTTCAATTGCTAACTTTAACTTCAAAAATTTTTTTATATTAAAA